TTAGGGTCTGTGCAGGCGGCCAGCCAGCCAGCCTCTTCGCCTAATGAAGACGGGGTAGGCAGTCCCGTTGCGCAGGTGCGCTCGGCGGGACTGCTTGCTTAGGGTCTGTGCAGGCGGCCAGCCAGCCAGCCTCTCCGCCTAATGAAGACGGGGTAGGCAGTCCCGTTGCGCAGGTGCGCTCGGCGGGACTGCCTACCTACAGGCTGCGTAGGCGGACAGCCAGCCAGCCTCTCCGCCTAATGAAGACGGGGTAGGCAGTCCCGTTGCGCAGATGCGCTCGGCGGGACTGCCCACAGGCTGTGCGACACGAGGCGGAACAAGCTGAGCGTTGTGTGGTCACACAGGGGAGTGGCACACGAGTGCAGCAGCGGTGCAGGCGGGTACTACATACTATAGGTCATGTTCATGACAACGTTTCCTGCGGCATGACCACCCTGTGGTCACGATCCCATGTTCAATCATAGGGACCAAAACTGAGCCGTAGGGAACGTGTTAAAGTCCTGGTCAGGGCAAAGGAGCTAGAAGTTTCAAGAGGAGAGGGGGAGACAGAGTCGGTCCCTCTGGCTCACTTGACCCTATATAGTGGTACCCGGCGAGACCCGGCGCTTTTCTATTCAATCATTTCTATCACACAACTATATCTCGACCATGTCCTCCTGTGGGAACAGCTGACGCACCTGCCCGTCGACACCTCGACCCCTTCGCTCCCCCTCTCCCCTACCCACCCCTCCTTCCCCCGCCGGTAGATAGCGCTGTGGTGGTAGGGATGGCCCGGGCCGGGCAGGGCTAGGGGTGGCAGAGCTCCGCCGCTCGCCGCTCCACGCAGCCCGCCAGTCTCCCGACGGACGGCTCCACGACCCCACCGCGGTGCCCGCGCCACCCCGCCGTCGAGTGCCGTGTCGTGCCGTGACTGCCCGTGACGAGAGCGGACGATTGACGAGGTGTGTCAGTGTCGACCCCCCTGCGCCGCGCCATGGACCCTAACGGCTGTGCGGCCCGGCCGCGACCCTGACGTGGACAACCCCCTGTCCTCGGACACCTCGCGACGACGCAACGGTGGACGGGGACCACGACATCGCCATGTTCAGCCTGGACGGCTACGGCAACCTGGGCGACAGCTGCTCGTCGCACGGGGACGACCTGTGGCTGGACGACGACAGCAGCTGCCACAGCGAGGACGCCTTCAGCGACCAGGTGAGTGTCTGACCTGGGCCGGGGTTTACCGGCGCGAAAATAAGGTCGAAATCGAGAGGGTAAAAAGGCCATCATCGCGCGATATTATCTGCTGACGTTATGGTCGCAGTTCTCGCACTTGCGTTGTCCCGCAGGTCTCAGGCTCCCCCCCC